GTAGTAGTGGTAGTAAGTAGTAGTAGTAGTAGTAGTAGTAGTAGTAGTGGTAGTGGTAGTGGTAGTGGTAGTAGTAGTAGTAGTAGTAGTAGTAGTAGTCGTAGTAGTAGTAGTAGTAGTAGTACAGAAAATTATAACTATTTAAGAAAGAGAACAGATGGTAACGATGCGTGTTGTCTGTACAGAAATGTGCTGAGGAGCCAGGCAACCATTCGCCCGCTTTCCCGAACGAAAACCGAACACAACTTCTACAATGGGAATAAAGGAAATACTGGATCAATGCTGTGGAACGGCCGGCAATATTAGAAGCCTGTGGGTGCAGAAGTCTTCGCAGCACTTGCGGACACAGCCTATGCCCGACAGCAAAACCAAACATCAGCCTCCTGTTCAGGCTCTGCTGGGTAGCGTACTGCCTGCCAGTGAGCCTGCCGGACGGTCCGGACGACAGCCAGTTCTGGGTCGTTCTGGGCCGTTTGGGATCGCTTCCACGGTTTACAACGGGGACTTTCACACGTACACTTCTTTGAGGCTGAGCTTCTTGTTGCCGATGCACCCATGTCAAGTTTCAAGTTCCCCGGACCTGGATCCAAACAGACGTTCCACCCCCTTCAGCACCTGACAGAGATTATGTCTGTCTCTGGCTAGCGGCTAGCGATTGTTCCAAGCCGCAGCATCACTACTGGTAGCAGTCACTAGCAGAGATACTCGCAGCTGACGTGTTCGACTTGAGAACGGATCTTAACTTATGCCACGTATCCCGCAAACCACATTCCCAGTCACCTGTGACTCTCACCCATCTTCCAAACATGGACCTAAGCCACGAACCGAACTGCCGCGGCATGTTCATCACTTCTGTGCAAGACTTGAGCTCGCAGCCGTGTTCTTACCTCTGGGTTGGGCAACTCTCGCCTGTTCGGGTGAAACTGCATTTGAGCATTTAGCTTCCGCATGAGCCCTCTTCGACGCGGGCCTCCGTCCCGAAATCAGCCTTCTTATCTCATATATACACATACTGAGCATCATTCGATATCATTCAGACCCAACTCCTGGGAAGGCCCGGTCTTGAGCATGGCAGCATCAGCGCTGTCCGAGCTGAGTCATTGCCGAGCCCCGTCAATAGTTTGAAGGCCAGGTCATAGCAACGCTTCACTGACGCTTCGTCGGTCAAAACTTATGTCACATATGTCAGCAAAGCCTGTCCATAGAAATGCCCAAATGCATGCCTCCAGGAAATCTACCATGGCTCGTCCTGGCACATGTCAGGAGGCAAAAACGTTTGACACTAACTGCTGGGCGCTCTTCGCGCCTGTGGCTACTCCAGGAATCGCTTATCGTCTTCCCCCTCTAGCTGGAATTCTTGTAATCGTCACTGTTGGTTGGTGGCCGCTGTGCAGACTGCCACAACGGCATGTTCAATGAGGCATGCGATGCCCTTCTTTGGAAGTCGATGCGTCAGGGCGTCAGGTTTCGAAACTTCGCTTATCATTGTCTTCGTCAGTCTCGGACCGGCTTGGTGTAGCCTTGCAAACCTTCGTGTCGGCGAAATGGTCTTGCAAGAAAGCCCTTTGCACAGAAGTCTCTGCCCCACTGCCGGCCTGTGCCACCCACTTCCTGGGGTCAGCAAGAGGACAGTCTAAAGGCCGTTGGCTGTTGGAATACTCGGGCGAAGAGCCAGAAAAAAAAGATTCCACCGGACCCAAGGCTCGAGGCTTCTTCAAGCTCGATGCCCAAGCTACACAGCACGGCCACTGCCGCGGTCCCAGTACGTCCAACTCCACCATAGCAATGGAGGACGATATTGCGGCCTTCAGAAAGCATGGCTGCCAACTCGCCAATCACCTCCTTGTAAGCCGGTGCATCAGCAGGCACGCCAAAGTCCGAAACCCCAAACTCCAGGACCCGACATGGCAGCCTTCCTTCCTCCAATGCCTCCATGTAGGAAGGCGACCGTCTTGCAATCTCTGCCCTGGCAGTGAAGCAGCCAACGGCCTTGGCTTTGCACTCTCGGCTGACACTTGTAGTTTCACCTCTAGCTGAAAACCAGCTTGCCGTAAGACCGACAACCCCATCGCAATTTCGGAAATTTCGGTGTGGCCAGGTCCCACCTCTGTTGCGGAATGTCGCAAGCCAAGGGACTCTTACAGACATCAAGCGGAAAAGCAAAGAAAAGGTATGCGACACTGGCACACTGATGGGACAGGGCTCTCCGCAGAAGTGAGGAGATTCCGTATACAGGAATTGGAGGTACAATGCAGTGTACCGCATCCTGGATACTCTTGCAAGCTGAAAGCTTCAGCCGGCGAATTATCGAACCCAGACCCGGGCCTCCACAACACCCAGGTCAAAGGCAAGCATCAACTACCAGTAGCCCCTATCCCCACTAACAGAGACATCAGCTACTACCCAAAAACAACTCTGGTTCACGGTGTCCAAATCCTCTATGGATCATAAATGAAATAAGTTTGCTCAAGTGCGTCCGGGTCTCGTAGATGTTCGCCTCTGTGCAAGCTGAGCAAAAAGACTCTACAGGCTCAGAGCGGCCAGGCATGGCGCTGAGCCACCTGCACTCACAGTTGTTTTTTCTTCTTACGGCTTGCATATCAAGGTTTCTGCTTGTCTCAGAAGGCTGAGCTTCGGAAGTCGTGCTGAGGGAATACGGCTTGAGGTGAAATTCGTTTGACATTTGTTTCAATCGACGGTTGACCATAACTCGACATGTTGCATGACGGAGTTTAGCCGTTTATTCTGAGCATCATGAGGCTCCATGAGTCCTGAAACCCAGGTCTGAGGCACGAAGCGACCAAAAACTTCCCGAAGATCCTCCAGAACGGAAATGTCAATCAAGAGCCCGAGACGAGACATCCTTTGAGAGCTTCTCCAAGCCACAGCCGGCCAGGTGTTGTCGATGGCACGCGACAACCACGAAGCGCCATGAGGCCAGGTATGTGTAAAACTGAGCCCCGCGACATTTTTCTGCAATTCGGGTACTCTGCTTCGGGAGTTCGTGGGATTTTACAACTTCGAGTTCGGGGCGAAGTTCGGGGACGACCCAACAACGAGGCTTGCAGCCTGCATGCTGAAGAGGCATCCGCAAGTTTGCTGATCGTACGGCGTCACATGGTCGCGGCATACAGATCCTCTTCACCATACATTTCGATCCTTCTATGTGTGCAGAAGCGTACACACTATCTATACACGCGCACTTGCATGTGTGCATAGATGTAGGTGCGCAATCAGGTATGCATATGTGCATATGTAATTATGCATATACATATTTCAGCATATCTCAGTATACATGTATGTAGCTCTACAATAGTAGGTGTGTGTTGCTTGCATATTTATATATGTATGTATGTATGTATGTATGCACGTGAACATGTACATGTGTACAATACATGCATGCAAGCAGGTGCAGGCTGTGTGTGCCTTTGCATAGACAACGGTCTAGGTGTAGAAACAGATATACATGCAGATCTTTTATCTCTCTGTACATACATACATACATACATACATACATGCATGCATGCATACATACATACATACATATATATATATATATGTATGTATGTATGTATATATATATATTTATAAATATGTATATATATATATATGTATGTATGTATGTATGTGTGCATATGTATATACACATATATTTATTTTTATCTTTATCTTTATCTTTGTCTTTA